ACAGCTTTTAAAAATATTAACCTAGAAGATTATCATATCCTTACAAGAAAAACTAAATCATAATTTAGAATGCTCTATTAGTTTCCTTATGAAAAATTGAACTCATATCAACTGAATATTACGACATAAAGACCTCAACATATCATGGTGAAGAACACAAAACAATATTGGATAAAAAAACATGCACCAGAAAAAATAAACACACCACCTACGTGAAAAAAGGAATGTAGTTGTCCAAATATTTCTCCAATTGCAAGAGCGATTGTACAAATGAAATAAGTAGATTACTAAACCAGATCACTCTACAAGAAAAGTGTACAACTTGAACAGAATCCAATATCTAACTAAAATGGACAAAGATTTGGCTACTAGAGAGGACAATCACAATGCTACTAGGTATAACCGGAGGTTCCTCTTGTTTCTTTCATACCAGAAACACAATAACCGCTTTGCCAACATACTCTCAAAGCAATTTCTTCCGTTAATCCAGCCCCAAGAGAATTGAGACAACACATCCATCTCATCCCCTCTTACAGTCCATGCTCTCCCTTTCACTCTCTCAGGACTGCTCAAACTTCTTATCATTCGAATTGCAAAACATCCTTGCTTGACCGAGTAATGGCTACACAATGTGTATTTTTGGAATGTGAATTAAATAATTATGCTAATCACTAAAACAATTTCCCTAGGATACACCAAATGGATGGGAAATTATTCAGCTTTTCAATTTACATCCCATGGCATTTGGAGGCAAACTTCCAAAGATGGATTCTTTCAAAGATTATTAAAATATTTATTCCCTTTTATCTTTACTTTAACCCTAAAATACTTTTAAATTAACATTTACAATTTATATATATTTTTTATTGATGATCTATTAAATATTTAAATCTAAGAAAAAATTAATAAACATTCAACATTCATCAAAAGCACTAAATAAAATGGGAGAAAAGACAACTTGGCATGTCTCTGGTGTGTCCCTGAAATGTTTGGTGTGTCCCTTGAAAAGAAATTAATTATATAAGGAGACACACTATGTGGTGTGTCTCATACGTGCCCGAAAGTATCCGCGTGCGTGACACGGATACGGGACTTGTTTTGAAGCGTCAGTGCTTCATAGCTTTAACCCTAGTGACTCCGAATCAATAGTTGTTGTCTCCAGAGATTATAACTACCACAATTCTAAAATCCAACAGCCAGACATTTTAGGAAAATTTTCCAATTACAGTTTCTATTTTATCTACAAACCCCTAAAGTCTTTCTTCTACAGTATAGAAAGCTAAATCCATAAGCTTACAAATTGCACTTAAAATTTAGGAACTAAATTGATCAAATTTAAATTATATGGACCAAAATGAAATTTGGGTCAAACTATAGAGGTGAAAAATATAATTTGAGTTGTTTTACAAAAATTTAGATGTTTCCATAAAACTTTCTCCAAAACAGTTTGTCAAACAAGCTTTCTATGTTTTTTGGAAATGAAAAATAGAAAACAAAAAATGAAAATGATACCAAACAGACCCTGCAAGTACTAGAAAGTTAGGTTTGACACAAAACTATACGTAAAAGCAGTACATGGATAAAGAAGACCGAAGAGGTGGAAGAGCAAGCAAGCAGAAAATCAACATGGTTTCTGCTACACTAGTGTATTTTCTCTGTACACAGTGTGTGAGTTGTTCTTGAAGAAGTCTGGTCATTTCTACAGAAGGATTAAACCGATCCTTCTCGGCAGCCTATATTTGGATTGTACGTACAACCAGCTAAGCTAATTATTTGACCAACGGCAAAAACATGAATGGGAGGAGATTGTTTTCAGTATGTGGATTAGAAAACATGGTACTCCATTGAAAGGTAACACCAGGGTACCTCACTCTTCTAAAAGAATGTAAGATAATGGTTTCATCCCCACCACGTGCATAACTGGTTCCAATTTCTCAAACATTATCATTCACTTCTATACTTAAAAAGCATGTTTCGAATTCTAAAATTTTGGTTTGCATTACAGTCAGAAACTCATTGAGATGACAGTAAAATAAAGGCCATTGTCTCTAATTCCATTTCTTAATGACCACCTCTTATACTGCCATCCCAGTTTTTCTAATGGCCTTGTATAAACATCTCATTCCATATCACATCAGTTAAGCAAAACTCATAAAGATGTAGTATAAATAGAGATGGCAAATAGGCGGGTTTGGGTAACTCAAAATAGGTTTTGTTATGTGTTAAAAACTACTTAGTCCAAACCCGTCCATTTAATAAACAAGTCTAAACGGGTTGGGTTAAATTGGATACGAGTTGAACAAATTAACCCAACCAATCCGGTTACTTTATTGAATTCTTTTTCCAATGGATGGTGGAGGTGGAGGCGGAGGCGGTGGTACTAAGAAGCCAAAATTTTTTGACTTAAAAAAGCAATGGACGTGTAGCTTATAGTAAATATGGAAATGCAAAACTAGTAACATGAATACACATTAGCATCATAGAAAAAAGTTGCATCGGTGACTGTGTTTTGTAAAATGTCGTTTTACTTCATCGATCTTGTTTCATGTCACTAGAGTTGCATGTAAATTAGTCTTTTGCAAGACCCAATTGACACCCGTGCCCAACCCCCCACAACCTGTGTGCTAAGGCAAATTGTCTTTACCAATCCGATTAAAACCAATTAGAGATTTGGAAGGGTTTAAATGGGTTAAATTGGGTGGGTTCATAGATTCGGGTTAACTTTGCCAGCTCTAAGTACAGGTAACTAGGATTTGAGACTAATTGATCAAGCATCAATGAATAAGACTTCAAGTGCAAGTTATGAAGCTAAATGATTTTTAATAAAACAACCTCAACAAACAATTGTACCATATCAAAACTCAAATGGATTGCAAACAACATGACATGTGAAGCTCTGGAAAGCAGCCAACTTACAACTGGTGACTACAACCCTTATTGTGATGGAATGGAACAACATCGCATATTAGATAGCTAAATGTTGAAAACTTGGAGAGTTCAAGATACAAGTCTTCCTGCCAAAATTGAATGCAAAAAACAGAGCAAAATACAGAGGGAATATGGATCCGGTGGCTTTGAACCCCCACTCATAAAATTTAATCATTGATAAAATTTCTAAGGACACTCACATAATACCAAAATTATCCTTTTTCCAAAACATTACACACCCATCTAGCTGCACACCCCATAACAATTTGGACAATCACTAAAGTATAACCTGACAGATTCGCCCCCTCCCCTTCTCCAACCCATGACAATGTTACCCAGTTAACTAATAAAGACAAAATGTCAAAAACTGAAAGTTATTAGAGACAACAACAACATTGCATGTCTTCATAATGTATATAGAGCCTCACCAAGAAATAGAACAAAAGTATTGTTGAGTAGTTAGAGAGAGAGGATGTTTAGAGAGGGAGAAAGAGAGAGGTCTACTTGGGCTTAAATCAACATCATGATCTTGTTGATGGTGATGAAAGCCAGCAAGGGATTGTTGAAGATGTCCAATATCGGCAAAACATGTCAGCTTTAGGGCAATTTCATCTCCATTTTTTTCAAAACATTAGCATAAACAGAGACCTCAAAAAATCAAAACCCAACCTCATTTATGAGAGAGAGAGAGAGAGAGAGAGAGAGAGAGAGAGAACCTTAGGTAGAAATAGGAGTGGTGGTGGGAGTACATATCAGAATTAGGTGGAGGAGCTACTGATGCTGCCACAATTTTGAGGGTGGGTGTTCCATTTCAATTTGTGTCCACTATAGGAATTTTAATTGAAGTTATAATTGTCATTAAAAAAAATATCAATATGCGGGGTTCCCTAGAAAAAAGGTGGGGGACTATTAGCGCCACCTGGAAAAAAAAATGATCCTTAAGGTGACAAATTTTGTGCTACAAACTACTTGTGTAAGCGATCTACCTTGCCATGGTTGATAATTCAAATCGATTTCATAACTGCGGAGCAAGACTTGAGAGAACAAGAGAATGATAAGAGAGAACAATGAGTTAGTTTCCGACAAACCCTATATATCTTCACAATACACATTTTAAATTTCATTTGGTATTTCCCCAAAATAAAAATATAAAAAAAAAAACTTGACAGAACCAATGGCTTAGCCACGTAAGTTAAACACAGAGGTGGGTCTAAAAATTTAGTCTAAGGAGCGGGCTTGCATATCATTTTTTTATACTTATAAAAATTATATTAGTATCAAAAGCAATGGAAGTATAGCATAAATTTTGAGGTACACAGTAATATACACACACATTCTTATTATACAGAAAAGTTGCATCAGCGACTGCGGTTTGTAAAATGTTGTTTTACGCGATTGATCTTTGTTTCGTGTCCCTAAGAGTTGCATGTAACTCAGCCTTAAGCAAGACCCAATGGGTAGTCGTGTTCAACCCAATTAAAACAAATTAGAGATTTGGGTGGGTTTAAATGGGTTTAATTGCGCATTCATGGATTCGGATTAACTTTGCTAGCTCTAAGTACAAGTACCTAGGATTTAAGACTAGCCAATTAGGCATCAATGAATAAGACTTCAAACGCAAGTTATGAAGCTAAATGCTTTTCAATAAAACAACCTCAACAAACAATTGCACCTGATCAAAACTCAAATGGATGCAAACAACATGACATGTGAAGCCCTAGAAAGCAGCCAACTTACATGTCTTATTGTGATGATAAAAAAAAACGTACCCAGTGTACGAAACTCCCGCTTAAGCGGGGCCTAAGGAAGGGTTGATGCGCAGCCTTACCCCCACACACAGAGAGACTGTTTTCGCGATTCAAACCCTCGACTACCAGGTCACCAAGGAGTAGCTTTACCGCTACGCCAGGCCCGCCCTTCTATGTCTTGTTGTGATGATGGAGAAACAAAATGCAAAACAAATAGCACTTATAATTCTTCTTCTTCTTCCTCTACAATTCACAAGTGCAATCAGCCCTAGCACATTCTTTCTTTCTTTACATACGGAATGCAAGTGCCAAAGATACCTCATATCAGTCATAGAGGCCCTCTAGGTTATAACCATGTCCATTTTTAATGCGGCGAGTTTTGAATTGTTTCAAAAAGATCACCATGTCTCTAGTTCTATCCACTATCAAATGCTTAATTTGAGAGCAACACCTCAAAATTTCCCTAATGCCCTCTGTTGTCAAACTAAGAAGTCCATTAAGATTTAGAGTTTGTAAATTGGGGCAAACAGCCCCTACTTTTTTTATGAATTCATCATTCAGATACACAGAACAAGTCAAATCCAATGATCTAATTCGATAATTCCTCTTCAACTCCAAGTTAAAATCATCTTCAACTTGTGGCTTTATATTAGGCAGTCCAATTTTCGAAAGCATAGGACATTCTTTTGCAAGGATGAAGAACGTTGCAGTGGTTATGTTTGAACACCGATTAAACTTTGTGGACGCGAGATTAGGAAGATACCGGCATAAATCCCTCATGTAATTGTCAGTGAGGAAATTATTGAAACAAAGTGTCAAGTGTGTCAAAGATGGGCATCCACATAAGAAATTCGAGAGTCCATGGAAGCTCAAACCAGAATCATCGTAGATCAAAATCTTCTCTAATCGAATGCCCGATGTTGAAATGGAAGACAGAAGTCGGTCATGATCTTCTTTTGCTTCTAACACAAGACTGCGTAAAGATGTTGCATGAATCATGGAATTCTCAAAAGTAAACAAATCATCTTGTACTGTGTAATACGGTCCAGCATCGAGAGAAATCAAGTTTCGACTATTCCGTAGCACAAAACAAATGCCATGTTCAGTTACTTCGCACAAACCACATCGAATTTCATGCAAAAGCTCACAATTTGAAAACAAAGCAATGAGAGATCGATCAGAACAACCAACCTGCTCTGCTATGTCTATTTTACGCAACCCTTGAAGTTTACGAGACATTACCTCGATCCCAGCATCAGTTACCATGTGCATTGCGTCTCTTCTAGGCTTTGAATTCCACTCACGGTTCCAAAAATAGCCGAAAAACTGGATATCGAGCTCTTTAAGCTAGGGTAAAGCATCGACTATAGCAACAAGGTGGTGGTTTCGGAAACCCTTGACGCAACAACACCTTAGAATCTTCAACTTGTTCATGGTTGAGCCCAATTTCATAAAAGTTTTGGGGAAATGGGGGTTTTTTGTAAAGAACGGAGATAGAGGGATTGAAGATCCAACCCTGAAGAAGCGATTCTTCGAATGGAGTAGTTGACATCGGCTTTGTCACCGAAGATGGGATCACGAAGCTCAATCTCTTGGAGGTTGGTGAATCGTTGAAGAGCTCTGAACAAACCCTCACAGTTATGGTTGTAGAACAATCTGTTTGGGACATTCAATTTGAGTCGAAGTCGATCGGTGATGGATAGGAATAGCTTGCAAACCAAAGAAGGGGATTGCATGTGGTTGAAGTCATCGATTGCTAATTGATTCAGAATCAATTCCCAGCAATCTTCGGAGAGTTCCTTATAGAGGTGCTTCATGATTTGATTTCAAGAAACTGAAGTTCAACAAAAATAGATGATTTGTTATCGGCAAGAGAGTCGAGTATGAGATTAAAGAGAACCCTAGTTAGTTTGAAAGAAAGTTCTATACCAGTCAGTCACCTGGCCTTTTTTTTTAAAAAAAAAAATCAAATTTATCGATAAAAAGAATTTTAAAAGTGGAAATTCGTGAAAAATTCACTTTAATAATTATCTAATGTATTAGGTTCAGTCGGTTTTGTTTATTGGTGAAAAAATTTTGAAAATAATTTTGAATTTTTTTTTAAATTAAGTAGGAAATTTTGATGTGACATTTGATATTTGATATAAAAACCAACAACTCATAACCAAACATACAAATTAAAATTCTATTAAAGCACATAAAAAATTTTAAAAAATTCAGAAAATATTTTTTTCGAATATATAAAAATTAACATACCAATTGCAAAAAAAAGAAAAAAAAATTGCACTGTTCCAGTCAACCAGTTAGGCCAAATTTCGAAAAAAAAAAATTGAGAATCGCGCTCTCAAACAGAATTGTCTGCAAAGTTGTGAAAAATTAATTCCACAACCCTATCCAAACATCATATTCAAATATGGGAGTAGAAAACTCGTTTGAAAATCGTTCCAAATACTTTGTAAAATAATTTGGTAAGAAATTCTAGATAACATTTTATTTTTAATTTTACCCCTCGATTTTTTTTATATGTTTGACTTTTCGTTGACTATGTGTTTAAATTTATATTCAAATTTTGTTGTTTATCTATTCATTTTTTCTATGTAAATTTTATATCAATTCGAATTTTTCTGTTCAAATTTTTTATCTGTCAAAATTTTATCTGTTCAAATCTTCTATCTATCCAAAATTTATCAATGTAAATATTCTATCTATCTAACTTTTATATATGTAAATCTTCTATCTGTCTAATTTTTTTTATCAATTCAATAGATAGCAAACAAAGCAATCTGTCCAAATTTTACCCAAACAAAACAACATGTCGAATTTTTGCCCCTTGTATTTTATATATCAATCACAATTATTGCAAAACCAAATAAAACAATAAAAAAACAAGAAGAGAGCGGTGAGAATCACACAGATAACAGATCAACAAATCAAGATCAAATCTTATCAGTTCAACAGATAACAAATTAAGATAAGAGAATCACACAGATAGTAGATCAATAGATCAAGATCAAATCTTATTAGTTCAACAGATAACAAATTAAGATAAGAGAATCACACAGAGACGGTCTTCTTAATATTGTTTGATCGATCATTGATCAATTAGTCTTTGATATTTTTCAGTTTGAATTCCTAGAACATACCATTATTCCTCTGACAATTGAATATCCCCACAAGAACTTTTTCAAATCAACCATTACTATCAAACACAATACAATTCAAAACAAAAACATCAAGAACATTCAAAAATCATGCAAAATTAAGCATTCAATTAGTGTGTTTGTCGCTATTGGAAAATAACATTGATTATTAATAGAAGCTTTAATTAGTACCAATGCATTCACTAAAATCCTCATTATAGAACAAATCGTCTTCTGCAAACAATTCGAATCGCGATTCCGCTTTGTTCTTGAGCTCGTCTGACTATCTGGTAGTTTTGCTGATTAATCTGAGCCCTTTTGAGAGCACTTTAAGCTTGATCTTGTCCGATCAAGTTTCACTTTGATTTTCCTCGCATCGCGAACCGAACCAGAGTCTAGTGGTTCATCGGCGTCTGATGACAACCTCAATTACGAGAATTTCCTCAGATGAATCTGAGCCCTTTGAGGGCTCTCCGAGTACTGATCTCGTCCGCTGAAGTTTCGATTTTATTATTCACTCTAAAAAAATTTTGATTTTATTTTCCTCATATTAAGAGGCAAACCAGAGTTCTGCCGCTTATCGACATTTGATGATGACCTCAGCCACGAGAATTTCCTCAGACAACAACTATGGATGAGCATGGTCCGAATTGGTCAGGATTGGGGTAAAACCAGGACCAATCCGTTATCTACGGTTCCTAAAAAATTGGAACCAATCTAATCCATTTAAATCATAGAACCAATCTGAACCAATCCATTTAAACCCAAATTAGATCGGTTTAGGACCACAGATTCACATAATTAAATAATAAAAAATATATATATAAAACATTTTAATTTCATAAAAACATAAACATAGCATCATATTAGTTCCACAATAGCAATATGTCTTTTCATAATAGTGACACATTGCTTTAGAATTTAAACAACTATAAGAAAACTAGTTCCACCACAAGTATTTTGATCATTACGAATTCAAACTAAAAACCAACAAACAAAAGCAATAAAAGAAGATACTATGCAGGTTTAGGTTTGGGTTTAGGTTTTATATGGAATAAGAGAAGATATTATGCGAGAAGGTGTATAATATAAATATAGGGTATTTGTATATGGTTCGGAACTGTTCCAATCCAGAACCGATTCATGGACTACGGATTTTTAATTTTTAAATCCGAAACCAAACCACGGGTTCAAAAAATCAATCCAAACCTACTAGATTGAATTGGACTGGATCGGATTACGAATTTGACGGATTCCTTGCTCAGCCTTAACAATAGCAGGTAGGGAAATGGAGATAGAAATAATTGGGTTGGCAGCAACAGTGACCCATGCTGCTCTCGGGCAATAGCACTTTTAAATTGCGTTCACTGAATAATATCATCATCAAATCTAATCAACATAGTGGAAAGCTGTAAGCCCGTAGGGCATTTTGTTATGAGGTTAACATGTAATACTTATGTAATGGAATTCAATGAAATAAAGGAATGTGGTTAGTTTAATGTTATTATTTTGAGGGCGTTACAAATCTGTTCTCCTTCATCATCATCATCATCATCATTTTCATCATATTTACCGCCTTCTAATGTTGCCTGAGAGGATCTCCTATCCGCTACTAATAAATCGAGATCTACGAATCATGGCATCAGAGCAGCAGTGACACCATCAACGACATTCATTATCATCATCATCTCTGATCGTAGGAGAGAGAGAGAGAGAGAGAGAGAGAGAAAGAGAGAGAGATTTGAGGAAAGAATTGAGATCGAGATATGAGAAGAGAGATGTCGCCAGAGCTACTTGGAACGTTGTCGCTACCGAAGAACGACCATCGACGGTGGTACAGTAGACGGCTGATGTCACGACCTAAACCTGCCCCTATGGGTTTAGCACTGTAATCGGCCAGTAATCCGAGATTACCGAAGGCCTGCTTAACAGTCAAACAGAATTACAGAGTACAGGTGCTGGCGGAAGCCAATACAGTAATTAAAATATGTCCAATGAGCTGTGACAGCCTGTATGCAAAAAGTCTTTTCATATATATACACATTAATAACAGAACAGTCTATACATACATGTACAATATATACAATCATTCAGGACAGGGACTTAATCCCTATCTAAAATAGTACAGTACAAAAACATTCAGTCTATACAGAACATAACCAAGAAGGGGGAAAACTAAAATACCCCAAAAGCCCTAGCTTGACAGGCTTGGAACCTCGCAGTGAGGCACAGTGGTTGGCTTTGACAAAAGGGAGCCTAATCCACGCTTCTAGCTCCGGTCTGGTGCCTGAACACCTATATATATATATATATGAGTAGTGAGCTAAAGCCCAGTGAATAACATAATGTGCAAAGAGGTTAAGAATGAATGTCCTTTCAGTATTGAAAACAGTCAATTGATTTAGTGTATCAGTCATTCAGTCATAACAGTCATATGTGGTACATCCATTAGCAGAAATAGACTCCGAACTCGGAGCCCCATCCGTGGATGCCACGTTTGGGCCGAATAAGCCTCTGAATTCGGAGCGCTCTTCACGATTGGCTAATAAAAAGACTCCGAATTTGGAGCCCTATCTGTGAATGCCACGTTTAGGCCAAATAAGCCTCCGACTTCGGAGCACCCTTCGTGGATATCACAACTGGCCAACACAAAAAGACTCCGAGTTCGGAGCCCCATCCATGGATGCTACGTTTGGGCTGAATAATCCTTTGAATTCGGAGTGCCCCTCATGGATATCACGATTAGCCAACATAGACTCCGAACTCGGAGCCCCATCCGTGGATGCCACGTTTGGGCCGAATAAGCCTCTGAATTCGGAGCGCTCTTCACGATTGGCTAATAAAAAGACTCCGAATTTGGAGCCCTATCTGTGAATGCCACGTTTAGGCCAAATAAGCCTCCGACTTCGGAGCACCCTTCGTGGATATCACAACTGGCCAACACAAAAAGACTCCGAGTTCGGAGCCCCATCCATGGATGCTACGTTTGGGCTGAATAATCCTTTGAATTCGGAGTGCCCCTCATGGATATCACGATTAGCCAACATAGACTCCGAACTCGGAGCCCCATCCGTGGATGCCACGTTTGGGCCGAATAAGCCTCTGAATTCGGAGCGCTCTTCACGATTGGCT